GAATACTTTTATGTAATAATTTTATGTATACACTGTGTATGTATGTTAGTCTTAGCTAGTTCCGGGGAGAAACGGCGACATGAGCCGACCGCATCTGGTGCCTGTCTTTCATTGGTCATTCACGCTAAACTTGGAGGTCGTTTCTGGTCCGTTTCAAGTTCTCTGCTGTCGACTATATGCCTCAAGTAAAGCACACACCTCTTGTTTATGCTCCTCAAAGTGACAAGTGTGAGCGAGTGTCTGTTTTTGTGAAAAAGCACTAGCAAAGAGAGACAAACCCATCTGAAAACACTAATCTGGTATGCATGGGATAGACTTTAAGACTGAGGTGTTCACCATGCAGGTACTCTCAACAATGATAGGACCATGGACACTCTTAGGGTTGAGGACACGAGAGTGGGTGATTATGGTGGTAGGTATAGGGGTTATAGCTGGATTTTTTATGTGGGCTTGGGAAACAGAGTTAGGCCAGGGAAATGCAAAACCAACAACAGTCTATGGTAAGGAGAAAACTCTTGGTGTCAATTACTCAATTTCAAAGTTGTCAGACATTTCACCCGGCAAAAGATGAAAGAACGCAAAGTTCAACCTACAAAGGAGACAGGGATAAAAATTAGAGCAAAAAGGGAATTGGATAAACTCGGAGCATGTGCAAAAAAGCGACAATACCTATTTGGGGTGCAATTGTGTTTATCAAAGGAAGAACACATGGCATTCCAGGTACCTTTTATAGCATTAGTAAACAAAGGGAAAAGTGGGAGCAGAAAATTCTGATTGTGAATGGTACATGACAAATGACATGAGAGATAAAACATGGGGGACAATGGTGGCATATACTGGATTAGATTGGACACCAACACCAACTACACATTTTGCAAGACACCATTCAAAAATAATTTCCATGACAAAGGGCATTATGCAGGGAAGTGTCCCATGTTTAACAATAACAATAGACTTGAGAATTGAGTCATTGGACCCTAGAGACAGATCAGAGAAGAGACCTCTATGGTTTTGTTGGGGATTTCTGGTATGGGCATATGTGCCAGGAGAAGACCCTTGGGCATTAATTACTATATGTGAAGATCCAGTCAGTGTCACAAAAGAAGGAGGGCTTAACGTAGGACATGTAGGTAACACAAACCTAGTGATGGTATATAATGCCACTCTCTTACACACAGATGATGTTTTCAGAATGGAGACAGGAATAACAGCTACAAAAAATAATTGGCTATTTATGATTGAGCAAGCTGCAAAAGCTACACAACTAAGTCAATGTATTGCTTGTATGGGACCAAGGCAGTACCGACTGTAGTAGATAGGGACAATCATACATGTTTAGTAGAGATTATGATGAGAGATAATCTATACCCTAACTGTTCACTATATGATAAAATATATCCAGTAACTGCCACAAATGCGACACCACCAATTTTCAATTCACAAGTAAAAGGTGAATACACCTGCGTCATTAGGAAAGTCCTTAGTAGAGAAAAATAGGGAAGTAGGACATGTGAATAGATCTTTATGCAATAGGTATGAGAATTTTACAGAAAAATGGACACAAGTTGACAGTAGCCAGAGCAGATGTGTGGTGGTATTGTGGTGGCATGTCTTTAAGAGGATATCTACACCCTCTGTGGGATGGCATGTGTGTGTTGATCTCATTACTCATACCAATTGAAATAGCCCCAGTGGATCTAGAAAAGCCAGAGATTATGAAACAAATCATTAGTGTAAAAACTAGATCAAGAAGGGCACTGGCTAGACCAGAGGAGGGAAGTCTAGTTTATATTGATGCAATAGGTATTCCTAGGGGAATTCCAAATGAATACAAATTGGTTGATGAAATTGCCTCAGGATTTGAAAATATACCAATAATATCTGCAATTTTCCCAGTAACCCCAAATAAGAATGTTGATCGAGTCAACTACTTACATTACAACATACAGAGACTAAGCAATTACACGTATGATGGATTTGAAAAAAACGACACAAACATGTGTTTTCTCCACAGCTCTTGCAACTATTGTTTTTTTGCTACACAGATTAGACACCGCAACACACCCACATATAGATTGTTTTATAGGATCACTTCAATGTATGTAGTGATTTGGATACTCAGTCCGCCCAGAGGCCTTTGGGGGGGGCCTGAAGTAAGGGCTGAGTGGAAGACCACCACATTTTTTCATAATGTCACATGGGGTGGTTTAGGAGTTCACAGATCGTCGTGAAGACTGGGATTAGACTGAGTATAGGATGTAATGCTGAATCAACTGATGAAGATGGGCCATCTTCATGGCCCATGAAGACGAGAGTGATGGATGTCCGAAGAGTTCCTCCCCGGCCAACAGAGAGACTGTTGGAATAATAGAGGCCTCCTGCACCAGTTAAACTAAATCAGTTTAGTACTGTCTGTTGTTAAATAATAACTACTTAGAAAACTCCAGACAAACTTGTTTGTCAAAATTAACTCTTTTAAAGTGCAGTTAGGTCAAGGTTATTATTTCTGAATGGTAAGAATTAATAAGTAGCATTTCTGTATGAAAAGTGAGAAAAACAAGAAATTGTTGTCAACAGGTGCAAGTTTTGGCAGCTGGCCAGAAGAAGTCATAGAGTCCTCGAATCTGTGATGTCAGTGACCTTGGATGTACAGTATATAAGATGTACAAGAGTGATCGCGGGGGCTTCTTCTGACCAGGAGGGCAGAGAGACATCTCCGAGGCCACTTCTTATCTTCAACGCGAAGCAAGACCTGTTCGCAGACCGTTACACTTGTAATATTGCTTGCAAATCTTTAATATAACATCTAAAATCAGGTTTGGTGTTTGCCATTTATATTACTATTTTAACATTGGTATTGTCTCTTGTTGAACTAAAGAATCTGCAGGACAAAACGGGCCGTGGTGCTGCAGCCTCTCTGCTCCGTCCAGAGCAGGGGAACCCCGACAGATTTACGGCAAGACAGAGAAAAGACAGTGACAAAGACAGAGACAGGGCAGAGACAGAGACAGGGCAGAGACAGAGACAGGGCAGAGACAGAGACAGGGCAGAGACAGAGACAGGGACAGAGACAGAGACAGCGACAGGGCAGAGACAGAGACAGGGCAGAGACAGCGACAGGGCAGAGACAGAGACAGGGCAGAGACAGAGACAGGGACAGAGACAGCGACAGGGCAGAGACAGAGACAGGGCAGAGACAGAGACAGGGACAGAGACAGAGACAGGGACAGAGACAGGGCAGAGACAGCGACAGGGCAGAGACAGAGACAGGGCAGAGACAGAGACAGGGACAGAGACAGCGACAGGGCAGAGACAGAGACAGGGCAGAGACAGAGACAGGGCAGAGACAGAGACAGGGACAGAGACAGGACAGAGACAGGGACAGGGATAGAGACAGACAGAGACAGGGACAGAGACTGGGACAGGGACAGAGACAGGGCAGAGACAGATGCAGGGCATATGAAGCGTCTTCTACATCTCCTCCTTCAGCCTCCAAACACTGCTTCTGTCAGTGTGCCCCAGGGCAGCTGTGGCTACAGTCGTAGTTTGACATCACTGTGTTTGGAGAGAATGACTGGAGCCATTATTCTAATAAATATATGTATTATTATGGAGAGCATACTGTATCTCTAAATACCACATAACACAGGTCTACAGGTATTATTATAGATCCACGCTACAGACACATCCTCGGAAGCACCAGGAACTAACACTATCGTGACTCACCATGGTCACCATGGTAACCAGAGCGTGCCTGTACATAGCCTCTGGCATCAGATCACAGTGAACATAGTTCTCTTTAGTTTGTGTTTGATCACATCCTCAACATGAGACCGATGAGTATGCAAATATTAGAGCAACGTCAGAGTAACGTCATGAACTCATGGCAACTGGCCATATATATATATATATATATATATATATATATGAAATGTACAATTGTCCATGTAGTACTGCTTCTGCTTCAGCCTCAGCCGTCTCCTACCAGAAAGGACCAACACTATTGGACAGATGTGTCTCCTGCTGATGTCGTGGTGCAGAGGATCAAAACAAAACACTATTTACGTAAAAATGTAGTTTTACTGACCTTTGAACTGAGTCAAATATCACAGGTGTTTAATGTCATACTGTACATCACAGCGATACAGCAACAAGTACAAAACACTAAAACACAAGTCAATGCTTGCATAAATCAAAGGAATTTGGCTTTTGATCAAGCCTTAGATAATGCAGCCCAAAGGGAACTTAAGAGAGCCTTGTCTAAAGCCAGAGAAAACCAGCACTTAAACATTGAGATGAGTTTAAATAACAAAAACAGCAAACAATGACAGGACACTTGAAGAAGGTCAATAACATGTCCTCAGTAAAGAAGCAGCTGTGAACCCCGAAGCTAACCACAGGCTGTTAGGCGTCTAAACAGAGCACTTTCATTGTTGCTTTTACCCCTTGTATTGTTTTTTTTGTAAATCGGTGCCACAGCGTCAGCTGTTCTATTTCATATGTTGCTTCGCCCTTTAGGCTTCGCTAATGCATATCTCTCCGGAAGCATCGCTTCCCGCCCTGAGAAGATCAAACGATCCACACTCCAATCACCTTCACGTCCTGGCGTAGGTCTGTCCCCTATAAATAGGGTCATGCACCACAGCTCTTCTCCTTTCTCTCTCAGCTTGCCTAAGAGAAGCTTCGATTCATTGGAACAAGGATGTCATCAAGCAAGTTCGCCGCGCCTGAAGATCTGTCACCCTCCGGTGTCAGGCTGCGGATCTGCGACTCGTGCCCGGCGGCACTCTCCCTGGCTGACCGCCACGAGTCCTGCGTCTTCTGCCTGGGCTGGCGTCATGCCGCGGAGGAAAGCCCCAGCTGTGTGGCTTGCCTCGCGCTCCCCAGGGAGGAGCGTGATAGACGCAGCGGGCTACTCAACGCCGGATGGAGTGATGCCCATGGTGGCCTCGCTCATGGTGTGCCACCCTCCGCCCACACTGCTGCTTCGCCTGGCTCAGCGGAGATGTCAGGCTCTGGATCTGGACCAGGGTCCGACTACGATGAGGGGGAGTTGGTGGAGCCCTGCGAGCAGGAAGCCCAGTCCGGGGGCGCTGCTGAGCACGGATGGTGAAAGACGTGGTTTGAAGTGGCTCCGCCGGAATGTGATATATTTGTGATATTGTGCACCTTTTTAATGACATAAGTGTGGAGACGTGTTTATTATTGGTTTCTTATCATCCCCTACGGTCCTTTTGGAATTTTTGGCGCTAAGATGAGACTGAAATCGGGTATGACAACCAGAGCAATGCCTGAGCAGGATGCTACTCCAGCGGCTAACGACACATTGCTAGCTAACATGAGGGAGATGATGGAGGAAATGCACAGAGACATCATAAGCAGATTCGAGGCTATTGTTGCAGATGTTGTTAAACGTGAAGTTACAGATGCGTTGGCACCTTTAGAGACTAAGTTGGGGTCATATGCGTCTGCCATATCCGACTTGGAAGGAGCTGCAAACGACCATGAGCAGAGGCTAACTAGCATACAGGCCTCTGTTAGCCAACTTCAGGAGGATGCCCAGTCCTCCCACTAACGCGAGCGCTATCCCCTGGATCGTTTCTTGCATCTGACCGCATCGGCTGTGGTCAGGATGTGTGTGGCGATGCCGGTCTAGCCCCTCGCTCCCTCCCCCTGGCGACGCAGACGTGAGGTGGTCGCTCCCAGGATGGAACCGCTGCTGCATTATGCCAGCCGTGAGTGGGATAGGCCCATGGCCGCCAAATCCCCGGCCTTGGCGTACGGAGTGTATGCAGGAGTGGACGTCAGGCGTTCCTCCTATAGAGGACGGAGTGCGTCTGTCTCTGCTTCCAGCTTCATCTCCGTGGTCTGGACTGGCAGCTCCCTCCGAGCGGGACAAGCTGACCATCTCCATGCTGGACAGATGTTATGGTTTTTTAAGAGTTGTTCCTTGTCGATGCAGGAGGGTCTTGTTGGACAGTTAGTGTCCAACAGAAAGGATTGGTGATGATCAGGACACTTTAGCATTCTACAATATGTATGGACATTTTCTTCTGTGTGTGCTTTATATTTCTCATGTGTTTTCACTGTTGATTCTCTGACCTGTGTTGGTGATTTCAATGGTTTTGTTAAGTCCTCTGAGATGACTTCTGTTGTGACCTAGGGCTATACAAGAATAAATTGTATTGTATTGTGTATGCCAATGCAACACAGGTCGTTGCTTTGGCGAACAACATGACTCTCCTCGCTGCTTCCCTCGACACTCTCATCTGGGGTCGGGAGGAGCTCTCCCGGACGGAGATCGAGGAGGCTGAGGATACTATGGCCACCTTCCTCCGCATGGCCCAGGGCTTAGCGGTGGACGGTGGTAGGTCCATGTGTGCGGCCCAGGTCGCCTGCCGCCATCTCTGGTTGGGCCTGTCACCTCTCAGGGACGCTAATAAGCGGCGCCTTCTGGATCTGCCGCTCTCCTCCTCTTCCTTGTTTGGACCGGACGGCGTCTGGGTAATGCGGAGCAAAGAACCTGTGACCGCCCGGCCCCCCCGCATCGTTCAGAGCCTGGAGGCTCTCTGGGTCCTGTGCGCGGGAGACAGCGAGCTCGTGACCAGCGGAGGAGTGGCAGCCACCCCGGCTCTCCAGCTACAGGGAGGGGAGGGAAATTCTTGAATAAAGGCCGCAAGCAGGCCCGTTACTCCCATAAAGAGTCAACTTCGCCTCTCGTGGGCAGGGAGTGCGTGACCGTGCGCTCCCCTCCTACGCTCTCTTTGCGCCAGCAGCACCAGCTCACAGTGCTCCGTGCGAGAGGCACAGGGCCGCAGCTATCCAGAAGAATAAGGGGGACTGCTCGGCCCCCCCTCAGTCCACAGTGCTGGGGAAAGGGGGCTCGGCTCCACGTAAGCGCAGCGCGCTTGGCCTTACGCTGCCACCCGGTAAAGGGCCCAGGGCCGCAGCTAGGGCTCGGCCCTCTTCCCAGGGGCCCCCCACGGTCCAGAGCGATAAGTGGGTCTGCTCGGCCCCCCCTCAGTCCGCAGTGTTGGGGTGCGGGGGCTCGGCTCCACGTAAGCGCAGCGCGCCTGCCCTCATTCTGCCGCCCGGGAAAAGGCCCAGGGCCGCAGCTAGGGCTCAGCCCTTTTCCCAGGGGCCCCCCACTATCCGATGCCTCCCCAGGAGGGACGTCTGTGGCCGGGCCGGACCTTACTCCCTCCTCCCATCTCGCCGTGCTTCCCTTGACTCGTTTTGTCACTGTATGGGAACAGGCAGGGCTCCTGGGAACACCGTGGATACGCAGAGTGCTGCATCGGGGCTACGCTCTCCAGTTCTCCTGGCGGCCCCCTCCTTTCTGCGGCATTCTCCAGACAAGGCTACGCAGCCCAGAGGACGCCGTGGCGCTTCACAGGGAGGTCGACGCGCTTCCGCAGCGCAGCGCGGTAGCGGAGGTAGGGACAGGGTTTTATTCTCCATACTTCATTGTCCCCAAAAAGAGCGGGAGGGTGCAGGCCATTCTGGACCTGCGTGTCCTCAATGGCTGCATAGCCAAGCGACCGTTTCGCATGCTCACAGTCAAACAGCTACTGCTGAGCGTCAGGCCCGGGGACTGGATGTCCTCCGTGGACCTCAGAGACGCGTATTTCCACATACCCATTGCTCTGGGGCACAGGAAGTTCCTCCGGTTTTCTGTGGGGGGGGGATGCTTCGAGTATTGTCGTCTCCCGTTCGGCTACTCCCTAGCCCCCCGCACCTTCTCCAAGTGTGTGGAGGCGGCGCTAGAACCCCTTCGGCGTCAGGGCCTCAGGATACTGACGTATATCGACGACTGGCTGATCCTGGCCTCCTCTCGGGAGGAGGCGCAGGATCACACGTCCAGAGTGATGAACAACGTTGCCCGCCTAAGGTTTGTGATCAATGTGGACAAAAGCTCCCTGTGCCCGGCCCAGGAGATTTTGTATCTGGGGCTGGTCTTGAATTCCAGGAGCATGACGGCTTCACTCTCACCGGAGAGACAAGCAGCAGTTCAGAACCTGGGCCGGATCGTTCTGGGCGAACCTCGGGTCCAACTGCGGCAGATCCGGTCACTCTTGGGCATGATGGCAGCGGCCCATCCAGTGGTGAGACTGGGGTTGCTGCACATGCGATATCTCCAGAGGTGGTTCTCACACCTCAGGGGTTTATCACGGAGGAAGCGACTGTCGGTGAGGGCTCGGAACGACGTCGCCTTCTGGCTGTCCCCAGGTCGACTCCAGGAGGGAGTTCGAATGGGTCTGGTGGACCACCACATCGAGGTCTTCACGGACTCCTCACTGAGCGGTTGGGGAGGCGTGCTCGGCCACCACTCGGCAGGAGGCGTTTGGTCCTCCCCCTTGGGGCACATCAACCTCCTGGAGTTGGAGGCGGTGCGGTTAGTGCTGGCCCATTTTGTGACCAGACTGGAGGGCCAACATGTGATTGTTCGGACGGACCACACCACTGTGGGGGGGACCAGGTCCCCCGCCCTTCACAGGCTGGCAGTGGAGGTTCTTCTGTGGGCGGACTTTCACCTAGCCTCTCTGAGGGCCCGTCACATCCCAGGCGAGCGCAACGTGGCTGCCGACAGGATGTCCAGGGGCGGGGCCTTGCGGGACGAGTGGGGTCTCGCCCCAGCGGTCGTGGCGGAGGTCTGGCTCCGGTTCGGAACACCGGTGGCCATCCTTTTCGCAAATGCAGAGAACGCACAGTGCCCACTCTGGTTCTCGCTCAGGTCCAGCGATGAGCCCCCTCTCGGGGTGGACGCCATGGCGCACAGGTCGTGGCCCAACGGTCTCCTCTATGCCTTCCCGCCTCTCCGGCTCTTGGCAGCCCTGCTTTACAGGGTGAAGAGGGAGGGGGTCTCCATCCTGGTGGTGGCGCCGGACCTGGTGAGCATGGCGCTCGGTCCGCCTTGGCCCATTCCGGACCGTCCCGATGCTCTGAGACAGGCAGGGGGAGCCCTTTACTCACGCCCTGTCCTACGACACAGGCTCATGGTTTGGAGGCTGAAAGGGGGAAACCTTGAGCCTTGGTCTCCCTCCCTCAGTGGTCGCTACTATTCAGGGTGGGTGGGCTACATCCACCACCAAAGCGTATGAGGTTTGCTGGAAACTCTTCGCCTCTTGGTGCGTGGACAGAGGCCTGGACCCCACCTCGTGTTCCATCCAGGAGGTCTTGGCTTTTCTCCAGTTTTTGCTGGAGAAGGAAAGGGCGGCCGCCACTCTGGGTGTGTTCGCGGCGGCCATTACCACAGGGCACGTGGGGTTTGGTAGCCCCTCTGCGCGTAGCCACCCCTTGGTGAAGCGCTTCCTCCGAAGGGCCCGCAGGATCAGGCCTCCCCTCCGGCGGTCGGCTCCGTCTTGGGACCTTCAGGTCTTAGCTGGTCTCCATGGACAATGCGACCATTGCCTGTTTGTCCTACAAAACGGCATTGTTGTTGGCGTTGGCTTCGGCCAAGAGGTCTGGGAATCTTTGCGCCCTTTCCATGCAGCCGTCTTGTTTGTCCCTCCCCGATCGGGAGGGCATGATGGAGTTGTGGCCTAACCCGGCATTCCAGGGGTGATCAGGGTGAGACCGTTTTTCCCTCCTCCGCATGCTTCGGAGGAGGAAGAGCAGCGGCATAGTCTCTGCCCGGTCAGGGCTGCGAGATGCTATTTGGACTGCACCTCTGACCTCAGACGGTCGAATCAGTTGTTTGTGGGGTTTGGCACCAGGAGTCAGGGTGCTGCTTTGTCTCCACAGCGCTTGGCCCACTGGCTTTGCCTTGCTATCCGTTTGGCGTATGAAGCTCAGGGCTTGCCGCCTTCGGCCCAGTTGAGGGCTCACTCCACTCGCGGGGTTGCCGCTTCGGTGGCTTTGTTCCGTGGCACTTCGGTGGAGGAGATCTGCAGAGCGGCGTCTTGGTCCTCCTCCTCGACCTTTGTGCAGTTTTACCTACTAGATGTGGCCTCTGACTCTGTGGCTCATTCGGTTTTGAGTGCAGGGCGGCCCTAGTTCTCCTTCGACAGACCTCGGTGGGGACCGGTCTGCAGGTGGAGGGTTGTGTGGAGAGATGTTGGCGCTCTTGGGAGAGGCGGCCTGGACACCTCTGCAGTAGGGATAGGCGCTCTTGGGAGAGGCGGCCTAGACTCTTCTGCAGTCTGCTTTACACTCCTGGGGATCAGGCGCTCTTGGGAGAGGCTGCCTGCCCAGGTTGTTCTGAATTCTTTCCTGCTTTGCAGGTTGGGGAATGCGCGGGCACTCTTGGGAGAGGTAGCCCTGCATCCCTTTCTCTATGGCTCGTAGGACCTCCGTCTCTACCGCTTGGTTGCGGTATGAGCACGAGGGTCACGAGTTTGCTCCAATCACCAGAGTTCATGCCTGCTGGGAGTACATTGGTCTGGGCTTCGCTATGTTATGCATTAGCGAAGCCTAAAGGGCGAAGCAACATATGAAATAGAAACCCCAGTTACATAATGTAACTAAGGTTCTATGAATATGTTGCGAAGCCCTTTAGCTTCGAGCCCAGCAGGCCTGCCCTCTCTTATTCGGCTGAGTTCGAAAGGAGAAGAGCTGTGGTGCATGGCCCTATTTATAGGGGACAGACCTACGCCAGGACGTGAAGGTGATTGGAGGGTGGATCGTTTGATCTTCTCAGGGCGGAAAGCGATGCTTCCGGAGAGATATGCCTTAGCGAAGCCTAAAGGGCTTTGCAACATATCCACAGAACCTTAGTTACATTAGGTAACTGGTTTTTTTTTATACATGTTCAGTGTACTGTATGTGTATGTGTATTTTATATTACATTGTATCGTGCTCTTTATTCTGTGGGTGCACACATAGTACCTTTTTTGCAAATGTGGTTTTTATACTGCACATGGCAAATAAAAGGAATCTGAATTTGAAGGACCTGACTCACAAAGAACTCAAGACTTTTTCTTGAGATTCAACATGGACAATAGTCCGGGTATGTGGCACAACTCCTGGGGCAGTTTTGAGACTGATGTGACCAATGCCCTGTGGCTCAGAAGTGACAGTTTCTGAGATGTTTGCAGCACATTTTTGTGCAAAAAAAATGAGGACTATTTACTACAGTTCTTTTTTTGAAAGCTCTGATCCAGAGCAAAACAAAGATCATGTCCTGCACTGTGACCCCAACACGTCCTGCACACTGTGACCCCAACACGTCCTGCACTGTGACCCCAACACGTCCTACACTGTGACCCCAACACGTCCTGCACACTGTGACCCCAACACGTCCTGCACTGTGACCCCAACACGTCCTGCACACTGTGACCCCAACACGTCCTGCACTGTGACCCCAACACGTCCTGCACACTGTGACCCCAACACGTTCTGCACACTGTGACCCCAACACGTCCTGCACTGTGACCCCAACACTATTGCACTTTCCTGTAATGATCCTTTTGGTTCTTACTCATTCATGCAGATCTGTGTAGCACTGCATCCTACAGTTTATCAGTTAAAGTGTATCTTATCTTATCTTTACACTGAGCAGCTGTGGCTACAGTAGTAGGCCCTGTTTAGACGGAAACAGAGTTTATATCAGTTTGGCCGATATCTGTTTTGGTGTTTCAGGTGAAAACGAGCTGAGAAACAGCCTCCACAGTGGAACAGAACAGAGACGCTGCAGCGGGGGGCTGTTTCAGACGAGTGAAGAAAAAGGTGTGAATTCTCTGCTGCTCTGACCTCCACTTCCTCCACGTACATTCAGACATGTGGAAGAGCCGAGAACAAACGTAAACAACAATGGCGGCGGGTCGACTAATGCTCCGTGTTCTTAGCTAAAGGAGGAGGATTCTACTTCCTCTTTGTTCAAACTAAACCACGAGAAGCTGTAGTTTCAGTTTCCATTTCCTCTGCTGTTAAATGCAGAATGATGTTGGTTCTTTCTCGTCTTTGCGGCGGCCTGAGGAGGATGTTGTTGAGGAAGTGGTTCTACTGCTGGGGGTCTAGTTTGTTGTGGTGTAAAGTTTCACTGCCCCCTACTGGCCACAAGCTAGAACTACATTGTTTTATGTATGTGCATTTAGTAGCCATCTAAACGCTGCAAAGGAGCCCGGTCATTTTTTGCTAAATGTTTTGCAGCGTCTCTCTCTAAACGGGGCCTTATTTGTACGGAAGCGTCTGGGTAGGGGGAGACACACACACTCTCTCCTACACAACCAGGTTTAATGGAGTAAGAGGTGATCTGGGTGAGCAACACTCCAACTAGTTGTAGAGACAAGAGAGAGAGACCAGAGAGACACCAGAGAGCGATAACTACTATTGTGATTTTGTGCAATACAAAAAATAAATTGAACGTCATAATTGTCGGTGACAAGATTCCCCCAGACATCCCTCTGTGCAAACAGTCGTGAGGCTCATAAATAAAAATGAGAACCAAAGAATATAATTATTATTAAACTGCAAAAATAACATTAAAATCACAGCAAATCATTAAAAATAATATAATACACGGGTTAAATATTCAGGACATTCATAAACTTAAAACAGGTGCACACTGTGTTGTCACAAAAAATACCAGAGCGAGACCAGAGAGAGTGTATGATCCTGTCTCTGCCCTGTAGTCTCTGCCCTTCAGTCTCAGTCCCTCAGTCTCGGTCCCTCAGTCTCGGTCCCTCAGTCTCGGTCCCTCAGTCTCGGTCCCTCAGTCTCAGGCCCTCAGTCCCTCAGTCTCAGTCCCTCAGTCTCGGTCCCTCAGTCTCAGTCACTGCTGCTGCTTGTGTTGTAGCGTCATGCTAACTGTGCTAAACGCCTGGATCCTGCCGCCGCCCGCGATCTGCAGGTTCACTGTGGTGGCGTAGCTGGTCTTCTGATTGGTCGCTCGGACAGGGCAGGGCGTGGGGGAAGGGCTTGTGTGGGAGAGGCCAGCGGGGGAGGGGCAGGAGTGTGGGGCGACGTAAGCACAGATGAGGCCGCTACGGTACGCGGGGGAGGGCGGGTCCCAGGCGCTTGGCACTGGAGAGTGGAGACTGAGGCTCTGTGAGAGCTCGTCAGAGAGGGGGACGCCACTGAAGTCTAGCCCAGAGAAAGAGCTCCGTCCAGGGCAGGGCGAGGGGGGAGACCGGGGGGTGAGGCAAGAGAGAACGGGGGAATAACAGGGCGAGGGGGGAGAGAGGCAAGAAAGTGTGGGGGAGTAACAGGGCGAGGGGGGGGACAGAGGGGTGAGGCAGGAGAGAGCGGGGGAGTAACGGCAGCTGTGGAGATAAGAGCGCCGGTTAGAATCTGATATCCACTTTATTAAGACGTTTAGACCCTTTGATGTTTTACCTCTTGTGTAAGCTGTGCTCTGATTGGTCGGTGGGTGCGGTGAGAGTGAGGGACCTCCTGCCGCTCTGAGCCCAGGAGCGCCTTGCTGCGCTGGGGTTGCTCTGCACCGGACTCTGTGTTCTGTCGAAGGAGAGCGAGCGCTGCAGAGACCCACCGTGACCTGTGGGTGAGGGACACTGCGAGCTCCACATAGAGCCGCTGTTCCTTGGGGCATGTGGCTGTGGCATGGCAACGTCCTGTCCCCAAGCGCTCCCCGAAACGCCAATGGGAAGCGGAGACACGAGGCGCGGACTCATACTGGACACCGAGTTCACAGGCCTATCCAGCCCCAGGGCATTGTGGGAGCTGCTTGAGCGGCGTGCGGGTGGCGGCTTGTTTGCTAGCGGAGACTTGTAGCCGTGTGGCTGCTGGACGGGCGATGGCGCTCTGGAACTCGGCTCCGAGGCACAGAACGGTCGTGCCATGCGGTTATATGAGCTGTTAGTGCCGTTTGCTCCTTGGAGACTAGCGTAAGTAGAACAGTTGTTGTAGCTGTTAGCGGTATTTGCTTCTTGACGGCTAGCATAAGAATAGTTGTTGTAACTGTTAGCGACATTAGCTCCCTGGGGGCTAGCGTAAGAAGAGTAGTTGTTGTATCTGTTACAACCATTAGCTCCTTGAGGGCTAGGGGAAGTAGAACAGTTGTTGTTGCTGTTAGCGTTAGCAAGTGTCTGGGTGTTTCGGTGGTTTGCTAACGACTGATCTGACCACAGGAAGGACTTGGGAAGCTGGGGAGGTTCTTCCGTGTGCTGCGGTGAAGGCGCAGTGCTAGGTTTGTCCAGAGACTTCCTGGACATGGATTGGCTGATGGACTGGCTAATGCAGGAGGCAGCTAGCGAGCGTGTGAACACAGACGTGGATTTGGAGGACGGCTGAGGATCCTGGAGAGAGCCTTCAGACCGATTGGGATGGACTGCAGTGAAGGGGTCTGGTTTTATTGCCAGATTTTGAGTTCTGGGATCTTGGAAATACTGGTGTTGATGCTGCTTGGACCTGGACTCATCACAGAGAGCTGCTTTCGGGTGTGTGACCGCAGAGTGTTCAGATGGACCAGATTGGGAGGCACAGCTGGAGCTCAGGGCTGGACTCGGGAGCAAAGCGGCCAGAGCAGGTGACTCCATACCGGGCCTGGACCACAGCTTTTGCTCCCTGGAAGACAAACACACAGCGGTCAGTGAGTGTGTGTGTGTATGAGAACTATAACAGAACTAAGGCCAGGATCAAGATTATACTAGGACAAGATTGTTTTAGAGCCAACAGTGTGTGAGGTCTGCTACGCTAACGCCAGCAGCTGTTAAAGCAAAAGACAGAGGTCACTTTTACACTCGATGGACTTGCTACAGCGATGGAGGAAACAGCTCGACCTCCTCAACTTCTGTTTATGATGCGTTCTTGGCAAGTTTATAAATTGTGTTTGTGTTGGATGGAGATTTTCTGGTCGTCGGGACACTGAGGCGCCTCTTGCTGCTGCTGGTGACGTGTGAGAGACCACCCCTGGTCTCACTGCACTGGATCCTTCTGACGCTGGTTTGTAAATGTTTAAATGGTCTAGAGTCCATATACATCTGACAGAGCTGTTATATATGCTCCTGCCTGGTCTCTCTCTATGGTCTCTCTGCGGTCTCTCTCTGTGGTCTCTCTCTGCAGTCTCTCTCTGTGGTCTCTCTCTGTGGTCTCTCTCTGCGGTCTCTCTCTGCGGTCTCTCTCTGCGGTCTCTCTCTGCGGTCTCTCTCTGTGGTGTCTCACTGCGGTCTCTCACTGTGGTCTCTCTCTGTGGTCTCTCACTGTGGTCTCTCTATGCTCTCTCTCTGGTCTCTCTCTCTGGTCTCTCTCTGTGGTCTCTCTCTGTGGTCTCTCTCTCTGGTCTCTCTCTCTGGTCTCTCTCTCTGGTCTCTCTCTCCGGTCTCTCTCTCCGGTCTCTCTCTCCGGTCTCTCTCTGCGGTCTCTCACTGTGGTCTCTCTATGCTCTCCCTGTGGTCTCTCTGTGGTCTCTCACTGTGGTCTCTCACTGTGGTCTCTCGATGCTCTCTCTCTGGTCTCTCTCTCCGGTCTCTCTGCGGTCTCTCTCTGCGGTCTCTCTCTGCGGTCTCTCTCTGTGGTCTCTCACTGTGGTCTCTCACTGTGGTCTCTCACTGTGGTCTCTCGATGCTCTCTCTCTGGTCTCTCTCTCCGGTCTCTCTGCGGTCTCTCTCTGCGGTCTCTCTCTGCGGTCTCTCACTGTGGTCTCTCACTGTGGTCTCTCACTGTGGTCTCTCACTGTGGTCTCTCTATGCTCTCTCTCTGGTCTCTCTCTCCGGTCTCTCTGTGGTCTCTCTCTCCAGTCTCTCTGCGGTCTCTCTCTGCGGTCTCTCTCTGCGGTCTCTCACTGCGGTCTCTCTCTGCAGTCTCTCTCTGCAGTCTCTCTCTGCGGTCTCTCTCTGCGGTCTCTCTCTGCGGTCTCTCACTGCGGTCTCTCACTGCGGTCTCTCTCTGCGGTCTCTCTCTGCGGTCTCTCTCTGCGGTCTCTCACTGCGGTCTCTCACTGCGGTCTCTCTCTGCGGTCTCTCTCTGCGGTCTCTCTCTGCGGTCTCTCTCTGTGGTCTCACTGTGGTCTCTCACTGTGGTCTCTCTGTGGTCTCTCTCTGTGGTCTCTCTGTGGTCTCTCTCTCTGGTCTCTCTCTCCGGTCTCTCTCTCCGGTCTCTCTCTGTGGTCTCTCTCTGTGGTCTCTCTCTGTGGTCTCTCACTGTGGTCTCTCTATGCTCTCCCTGTGGTCTCTCTGTGGTCTCTCACTGTGGTCTCTCTATGCTCTCTCTCTGGTCTCTCTCTCCGGTCTCTCTGCGGTCTCTCTCTGCGGTCTCTCTCTGCGGTCTCTCACTGTGGTCTCTCACTGTGGTCTCTCACTGTGGTCTCTCTCTCCGGTCTCTCTGCGGTCTCTCTCTGTGGTCTCTCACTGTGGTCTCTCTATGCTCTCTCTCTGGTCTCTCTCTCCGGTCTCTCTGTGGTCTCTCTCTCCGGTCTCTCTGCGGTCTCTCTCTGCGGTCTCTCTCTGCGGTCTCTCTCTGCGGTCTCTCTGTGGTCTCTCTCTGCGGTCTCTCACTGCGGTCTCTCACTGTGGTCTCTCTCTGCGGTCTCTCTCTGCGGTCTCTCTCTGCGGTCTCTCTCTGCGGTCTCTCACTGTGGTCTCTCTATGCTCTCCCTGTGGTCTCTCTCTGCGGTCTCTCTCTGTGGTCTCTCTCTGCGGTCTCTCTCTGCGGTCTCTCTCTGCGGTCTCTCTCTGCGGTCTCTCACTGTGGTCTCTCTCTGCGGTCTCTCTCTGCGGTCTCTCTCTGCGGTCTCTCTATGCTCTCTCTGCGGTCTCTCTCTGCGGTCTCTCCCTGTCTCTCTCTGTGGTCTCTCTCTGCGGTCTCTCTCTGCGGTCTCTCTCTGCGGTCTCTCACTGTGGTCTCTCTCTGCGGTCTCTCTCTGCGGTCTCTCTCTGCGGTCTCTCTCTGCGGTCTCTCACTGAGGTCTCTCTATGCTCTCTCTGCGGTCTCTCACTGTGGTCTCTCTCTGCGGTCTCTCTCTGCGGTCTCTCTCTGCGGTCTCTCACTGAGGTCTCTCACTGAGGTCTCTCTATGCTCTCTCTGCGGTCTCTCACTGTGGTCTCTCTCTGCGGTCTCTCACTGTGGTCTCTCTCTGCGGTCTCTCTCTGCGGTCTCTCTCTGCGGTCTCTCACTGAGGTCTCTCACTGAGGTCTCTCTATGCTCTCTCTGCGGTCTCTCACTGTGGTCTCTCTCTGCGGTCTCTCTCTGCGGTCTCTCTCTGCGGTCTCTCTATGCTCTCTCTGCGGTCTCTCTCTGCGGTCTCTCACTGTGGTCTCTCTATGCTCTCCCTGTGGTCTCTCTCTGTGGTCTCTCTCTGCGGTCTCTCTCTGTGGTCTCTCTCTGCGGTCTCTCTCTGCGGTCTCTCTCTGCGGTCTCTCTCTGTGGTCTCTCTCTGCGGTCTCTCTCTGCGGTCTCTCTCTGCGGTCTCTCTCTGCGGTCTCTCACTGTGGTCTCTCTCTGCGGTCTCTCTCTGCGGTCTCTCTCTGCGGTCTCTCTCTGCGGTCTCTCACTGAGGTCTCTCTATGCTCTCTCTGCGGTCTCTCACTGTGGTCTCTCTCTGCGGTCTCTCTCTGCGGTCTCTCCCTGTGGTCTCTCTCTGCGGTCTCTCTGCGGTCTCTCTCTGTGGTCTCTCTCTGTGGTCTCTCTCTGCGGTCTCTCTCTGTGGTCTCTCTCTGCGGTCTCTCTCTGTGGTCTCTCTCTGCGGTCTCTCTGCGGTCTCTCACTGAGGTCTCTCTATGCTCTCTCTGCGGTCTCTCTCTGCGGTCTCTCTCTGCGGTCTCTCTCTGTGGTCTCTCTCTGCGGTCTCTCTCTGCGGTCTCTCCCTGTGGTCTCTCTCTGCGGTCTCTCTGCGGTCTCTCTCTGTGGTCTCTCTCTGTGGTCTCTCTCTGCGGTCTCTCTCTGTGGTCTCTCTCTGCGGTCTCTCTCTGCGGTCTCTCTCTGCGGTCTCTCTCTGCGGTCTCTCTGCGGTCTCTCACTGTGGTCTCTCTATGCTCTCCCTGTGGTCTCTCACTGTGGTCTCTCTCTGCGGTCTCTCTCTGCGGTCTCTCACTGCGGTCTCTCTCTGCGGTCTCTCACTGTGGTCTCTCTATGCTCTCCCTGTGGTCTCTCTCTGCGGTCTCTCTCTCTGCGGTCTCTCTCTGCGGTCTCTCTCTGCGGTCTCTCTCTGCGGTCTCTCTGCGGTCTCTCACTGAGGTCTCTCACTGAGGTCTCTCTATGCTCTCTCTGCGGTCTCTCTCTGCGGTCTCTCACTGTGGTCTCTCTCTGCGGTCTCTCTCTGCGGTCTCTCTCTGCGGTCTCTCTCTGCGGTCTCTCACTGAGGTCTCTCACTGAGGTCTCTCTATGCTCTCTCTGCGGTCTCTCACTGTGGTCTCTCCATGCTCTCCCTGTGGTCTCTCTCTGCGGTCTCTCTCTGCGGTCTCTCTCTGTGGTCTCTCTCTGCGGTCTCTCTGCGGTCTCTCTCTGTGGTCTCTCTCTGCGGTCTCTCTCTGCGGTCTCTCTCTGCGGTCTCTCTCTGCGGTCTCTCACTGTGGTCTCTCACTGCGGTCTCTCTCTGCGGTCTCTCACTGTGGTCTCTCACTGTGGTCTCTCTATGCTCTCCCTGTGGTCTCTCTCTGGTCTCTCTGGTATCTCCCTGGAACATGTACTGTATTTTATGGCACTTCCTTTATGAGACAGATGCTCTATGTAACTCTCTCTGTTTTTCCTCAGGCATAAACACCAACATGCCTCTGCAACAACCATCAACGTGACACTAAAGCTGGGGTCTGTAACTTTCAGACCAACAGAACTCTGTATTAAAACCATGTCTCTGGTTCTGGCTCTAAAACAGTTGCTTCTGTCACTAGTTTCATGTTTAATCTGTCTCTGTCACATCTTTAGATCAAAGATAGAACCACCCTCTCTCAGCCAATCAGCTCTCAGCCCAAAGAGGCAGATAGTGACTCACAGGGACTTGAGACTCTTTCTGTTCAAACTGCATGTGTTATTTAATATAAGATAAGATAAAATGTATTGATCTCACAATGGAATAATTTAAGAGTCTAAAGTTACAGACCCCAGCTTTAAACATGTATTATTTATGAGACTAAAGTTACAGACCCCAGCTTTAAACATGTATTATTTATGAGACTAAAGTTACAGACCCCAGCTTTAATCCTGTTTACCTGTGTGGGGTGGGGTTAGAGTAGGACTGTCCCGTGGGGATCCAGGTCCCTGTGGAAGAGGCTGAGTCTGCGCTTTCACATCCAGGCAGAGGGGCTTGCTTCTGGGTGCACATTTGCCGAAGACTGGCTGGACCTCCATGACTCAGAAGGGCGTCCGTGCGTTTGCTTCCCAGAGAAAAGTCATGATTCTGGGCTTGGTCTGGGCTGATCTCTGGATGAGTGGCGACAGGGATCTGGCTGTTCAGACCTGTGTTTCTGTCACTGCTTTTGGGAGCGTTTTCCACTTCCTCCTGCAAGAATTGAACCTCCAACTCTGCCCCAACACTTCCCTCATGGTGTTGACTAAGACAAGATGCCCCAGATGCCCCGGTGGCGTCTAAATGTGAGTTTATGTGTTCTCCAGCTCCGTCCTGAGAGGGTATGTGTGTGGCCTGTGACCCCAGCTGCAGAGCCTGGTTCTGGGACAGGTTTGTGGACCACGGCTCTGCTGGGAACTGCGGGCCCCTGTCTGGCTCCTGGCTGTGTCGTGCCTTGCTTTTGGCTCCTGCTGCTGGTTCCACAGTAAAGTTGTACAGATTGATGGCAGAGCCTGAGGCAATAACAGACAGGCTTTGCTCCGACCTGCAATTATGGAGATAGCTGCGATTAATGATACATAATATGTAAATATGTTTATGAAGGATTGCCTCAGGATCTTCAGAAACACGACACGAGTCACAACATTCTATCAAACTCCAAACGAACAAAAGAAAAGACTGTCTGTGGCTCCAGAGATCAAAGCATCGATAAGCCCACAGAGAGAGACCAGAGAGGAACCAGAGAGAGACCAGAGAGAGACCAGAGAGAGACCAGAGAGAGATCGGAGAGACCAGAGAGAGGACCAGAGAGAGACCAGAGAAAGTCCAGAGAGAGAGAGAGGACAGAGAGACCCAGAGAGAGACCAGAGAGAGAGACGAGAGACCAGAGAGAGAGAGAGAGACGAGAGGACTCGAGAGAGGACTTAAGAGAGACCAGAGAGACGAGAACCAGAGAGACCGAGAGGACTGAGGACTTAAGAGAGACCAGAGAGATATACCAGAGAGAGAGAGAGGGACCAGAGAGAGACCATTGGGCTCGAGGGAGTGCGCCTGGTCCTTCTTTGAAATAACCTTCCAGAGAACTTTAGTCACAGATACCCACCTGCTCTGGGGGCCCTCAGAGAGGTCTTGGTCTTGGGGGCCCACAGGGAGGCCCTGGTCCTGTGGTTCCACAGAGAAGCCATGGGGGCAGGTGTGGTCCAAAGAGAGGTCCTGGGGTTCCACAGAGAGGTCCAGGTTCTGGGGGTCCACAGAGAGGCCCTGGAAAAGACCGGTTTCTGGGAGGTCCTTGCTGATGGAGCCGGGAGACGAGGACAGAGCGATGCTTTTGGTGCAGTCAGTCACATGACCAGAGACAGCAGCTAAAAGAGGGACACAGGAATCATGTAAAGACTTTAGTTCCCGTGAGAAAGAGCACATACTGCCCTCTGGTGGTGGAAGAGGGACATGACGCGCTGCTTTTATGGTCATGGTTTAGGTTTGTTTCCTGTTTAGTCATTTTTATCCCCTGATTTGCCGGAGCAGTTTCCTAGTCTAGTTCCTGTTTCTTACATGGCATTGGCAATAAAAAAGATTCTGACTCTGTGTCTTTAAACCCTTCTCTCCCTGTTCTGTCAGTGTTTTTCTTCTCTGGAATATACTTTTTACTCTCATTAAATCCTTTATCTTTTCGTTTTGGGTTTTTTCATTTGGCCTAGTGACATTTGTAATTGTAAAATAAGGACCAGGATCATCTACAACAACGATAAACCCCGGTTCAATGCTCGAGGCAGCTCAGAAAATTTAAAGAGTCCACCTTCAGAGAGTGAGACAGCAGCGGCTACAAGGGGCTAAATACCAATTCAAGAATTTACTCAGGGCAGCTAAGTTCCAGCACACGGAGCATCAACAGCAGCAGTTTGCTGACAACAACCCTGCTTCTGTTTGGGGAGGCTGCACCTCCGCAAAGCACCTGACCCACACAATGTCTCTTGAGCCTCCCTGAGACACTGCCCAAACGAGCTGTCCCCAGTCTTCACCGACATCTTTAACACGTCGCTGGAGTCTTGCCACGTCTCGGCCTGCTTCAAATCGTCTATCATGGTTCCCGTTCCCAAGAAAACCCGGATCACTGGACTTAATGACTACAGACCTGTGGGGCTGACATCTGTAGTGTTGAATTCGTTTGAGCGCCTGGTCCCATCTCAAGTCCTTGACCTCCCCCCTCCTGGACCGTCTACAGTTCACCTACAGAGCCAACAGATCTGTAGATGCAGATCTGTCAGTGATCCTGCAGGTGGATCACTGACTTCCTGACAGACAGGAAGCAGCGAGCAGGGCTGGACTGGGACAAAAAAACGGCCCGGGCATTTTTCCCTTTTTGGCGGCCCAGGCAACTCAAAAGTTTCATGGAGCCATATTTGACAAAAAAAAAAAAAAAAAACAGTGTTGTATAAGGCTTATATGAAGGTAACAGGGGCTGAAGCTGTATTAGCTACATTAGCTACCTTAGTTACATTAGCTATATTAGCTATATTAGACTATTATCTAAATGACAAAGTAAAGGCTAAACACATAAAAACCATTCATGATTATCAAATGTGTATTTTCATTGCAGTGTGTCCTGGAGAGAATGACGCACCACGTGACAACTCTGCTTTAAGTTTAACTTCCATTTTTTTTGCCTTCATGCAATTGTACAAATACAGTAAATAAATCTGCTTTTTGGCTCAGTTCACCTGCATCACTGTCTGTTCATATCCATCACAGGCTGAAGTTTGCTGGAGCTGAATGTCCTTAATGGCCTTTTCTTTCACCGTCTTTGCGAAGGTTTTTGAATTCTGAAAGTAGGTGCTCTGACTTTATGATGAATGAATCTTTCAGTGAACAGTGTTTAAAGCTTCATTGTTCCTCGTGTTGCAACACAACTTTTCATTACAAACATGAAGCAGTCCTTCCTCATTGACTGAAAGCAAATGTTCATTCTCATTCTTAGTCCAGTCTTATCGACTCTTTCTCTCTGTATCTTTGGGATCCGTGCGCACATGCCGGTTTGTTTGCAGCCGCGTCACAGGATATGACGCACTACGTTGACAGAAGTGCTAAAATTGAATATTACTTATACAAGTTTTTGCAGCATTGAAAAACGTTAAGAAGGTTTTTCCTCCTACAGAAACCACATTCAAACTAGAAATAAAATATAGCCCTCACACTCCATTTTCAGACATTTTTGAAAAGGCTCCAGGAGCCACTTTAGGGGCACTAAAGGTTGCCGACCCCTGGTTTATACAGTATGTGGAAGCAAATACTGTAGAGGATCAGGATGTCTGCAGTTTCAACAATAAAATAAAGTACAATAGTCTACATTAAACAGAGTAATAAACATGTCTCAGAGTGAGGGAGGTGGACACAGACAATACTATTGTTTGTTACAGGGATGAGAATTGGTAAAAAATTCTGAAATGCATATTGTCAGCCATTGGCTGGCTCTAAATCTGTTTAATCTGTTCACAACATTTTACTTTTGGGCTCAAACATGAACTTTTAATGCAATGGAAAATGTAGGTACCCGAGCTTTAATTCGGACGTTCTGCTCTCCCAAAATTCCATCCACTGAGCGGCGCTGTGATCAAAAAATGACACCGTTTGTTGCCCAGTTCACTTCCGGTTGATTTCATACAATGGCGAATATGGCTCACAAAAACAACAAACGATTGACAGTGCCTGAATTGCGTGAAAGGTTGAAGCGAAAGGGTATTTGCAGTGTGGGAAAACGAAAGGAGGAATTGTTGTTGCTAGTTCAACGAGCGGATGGTGTTTATGAAGATTTAGAAGAAGATGACAGCGAGCAGAGTGAACGAAAACGGCTGTGTGTGCGAGTGACAGATGGTAACAATGAGAATGAAGTTCAGCTAAGAGGGAAGAATGTGAATTGGACGGATGATTTGCGCGATATGCCACTAGTTAGAGACGGGAATGTATTTGCATACAGAAAATGACGAAAACACTCAACCATTTAGAGAAAATGCGCCGGGCAGAGAGAACCCGGAAGTTGCGAAGGCAAGTGTTACCCATAATGCAACGCAAAATTCAGTCGCTCCCCCGCCCATCGGATGGAATTTTGGGAGAGCAGAACGCCCGAATTTAGAGGAGAGGGGAGACGCGGACTGTTTTCTGCGGTGTATTTATTGGGTGCACAAATTACGAAAAGACATGCATGGTCCTGTGCGCGTTTATGGTCTTGGGTACATGGTCACGTTGCGGCCACGCGCTCACCGTGTTGTGTTGTGAGCGGTTCCCGGTGAGCGGTTCTTGCGTCCAGCTCAGAGCCGCTGGATGTGGGAACACTGCGGCCGCTGAAGTGGTGGAATCCCGTTCGAGTACATACAGCAGGTGCCCCGCGGACACGCGCGCTCCCCTCAGACATTTCTCAGCGGATTTACACTTTTCACAAACATGTGTTTTGTATGAGGCAGACAGACCGGCCCAAATATGGGCATCGGCCCTTCGGGCATTGCCCGGTACGCCCGATGGCCAGTCCAGCCTTGGCAGCGAGTGCGTCTGGGGAAAAATGTCTCGGACTCTCGGATTATAAATACAGGAACCCCACAGGGCTGTGTCGTTTCTCCCCTGCTCTTCTTCCTGTACACCAACCACTGCACCTGGTTCGCTGGAGCCACAGTCAGGGACAAGCATTGTGCGCTCTGCAGAGAGGGTGATCAGCCGCAGCCTCCCATCGCTGCAGGACCTGTACGACACCAGAGCTTGCAGTTGTATCACTGCCGACCCCTCTCACCCAGCAAATGGACTTTTCCTACCTCACTTTACTGCACTGCTTAATATATATTTTATTATGTGTGCTCTTGTATATAGTAATAATTGTAAAAAATTTACATTTTGATTTTTATATTTTAGAAAATGTTATACTTTAGAAATGTTTTATCATGCCTTATTCTATCCAAGTGATCTCACCTGGACCGTGGACGCCGCTGGTCTCTCTGGACTCAGCTCTTGTCTCAGCTCTGGTCTCTCTGGTCTCAGTCCTGGTCTCAGTCCTGGAGTCATTCCTGGTCTCAGTCCTGGTGTCATTTCTGGTCCTGGTCCTGGACTGCTTGGCGCTCCGCCGGTGCTCCTCCTCGGCCTTGGCGCTGTACATGCGCGCTAATGTCTGCACCTTGTTGAGGATGCGCTCAGAGTTCTCCCTCAGTAGCGGGTCGTCCTGGAACAGTCCTCCCCTCCCCCCTCCTCCCCCCACTCCCTCCCACAGCCCCAAACGCTCTACTCCTGCAGCCACGCCTTCAAACAGAGCGCGGTTCAGAGAGACCGCCCTGCAGTGGCGTGCCCACCTGCTGCCCGCCGCCTCAGTCTGTGCAGCTGTGGCGCCTCTGTCCCTGTTCGCTCTCTCTCTCTGTGAGGTTTGGTCCACATTGCTGCTAACGCCTTCTCCGGAAGTCGCCACGGTTGCACCAAACAGACGCAGATTTCTTGTTTTATTCTCTCTATTCTGTCGAACCATTCCAACGTTTTCCGCTGGTTTCCCTTCGACTCGGACAGATTCTTCTCGTTTTTCTCGTGCCGCATCTTCCACTGTTGCACCATTTTGATCCTGACCTCCATCACTTTTCTCACTATTTTGTCTCTGAACCCCTGAGATTCCCGCTCTCACATTTCTCTCTGGTTCTTCCACCACACACACGATGGCAGCCATTTTGTGAGCCTCTGCGCTTGGATTCAAAGTGACGTCTGGTTTTGGTTCCTCCTCCTCCTCCTCCTCCTCCTCCTCCTCTGCGGGCACACAGCTGGTCCCGACCTCCTTCACCTCCTCTGAAGGCACACAGCTTGTCCCGACCTCCTTCACCTCCTCTGCAGGCACACAGCTTGTCCCGACCTCCTTCACCTCCTCTGCAGGCACACAGCTAGTCCCGACCTCCTTCACCTCCTCTGCAGGCACACAGCTAGTCCCGACCTCCTTCACCTCCTCTGCAGGCACACAGCTAGTCCCGACCTCCTTCACCTCCTCTGCAGGCACACAGCTAGTCCCGACCTCCTTCACCTCCTCTGCAGGCACACAGCTAGTCCCGACCTCCTTCACCTCCTCTGCTGCAGGCACACAGCTAGTCCCGACCTCCTTCACCTCCTCTGCAGGCACACAGCTGGTCCCGACCTCCTTCACCTCCTCTGCAGGCACATAGCTTGTCCCGACCTCCTTCACCTCCTCTGCAGGCACATAGCTTGTCCTGACCTCCTTCACCTCCTCTGCAGGCACAAAGCTGGTCCTGACCTCCTCCTCCTCTTCGTCTTCTTCTGCCGCTGCTTCGTAATAACTGCGGATTTTCTCGATTATGTTTTTGTCTCGTTTTCTCCGCTGGAATCCTCGCGTCGCACTGGGTCTGTGCACCTCCTTGCACGTCTCTTCGGCCTCATGTTTCTCTTCAGAGCTCTCCGTCACTTCTCTCTGATTTGCTTCTTCTGCTGGGGTCTGCTCCCTGGTTTGTTCAGATAAAAGGGTTTCCATCTCCTGGTGCATTGTAGATTCCCGGTGCATTGTGGGTAGTGGCGAGTAGGAGGCGGTGGAGGGAAGTGGGCAGGTGCCATCTTTGTTCTGGTCCTGAGGAAACTCCTGAAAAATAGATGGAGAATATTTACTTAGTACTCTCTCTCTGGTCTCTCTCTGGTCTCTCTCTGGTCTCTCTCTGGTCTCTCTCTGGTCTCTCTCTGGCCTCTCTCTGGCCTCTCTCTGGTCTCTCTCTGGTCTCTCTCTGGTCTCTCTCTGGTCTCTCTCTCTGGTCTCTCTCTCTGGTCTCTCTCTGGTCTCTCTCTGGCCTCTCTCTGGTCTCTCTCTGGTCTCTCTCTCTGGTCTCTCTCTCTGGTCTCAGTGGAACAGGGGGTAGAACCGGACCTGCAGACCGTGCTGGTGCTCTGAGTCCCAGTCCTGGTCCTCTTCTTGGCTCTGGTTCAGGCTCTGGTCCTGGTTCAGGCTCTGGTCCTGGTTCAGGTTCTGGTCCTGGTTCGGGCTCTGGTCCTGTTCTTTGCTCTGGTACTGGACCTGGTTCTGGGTCTGGACCTGGTTCAGCAGCTCCAGGATCTCTTCAGTGATAGACAGTGATGTCACCAGCTCCTCCTCTGGATCCTTTCAACACAAACACTTTATTTATGTAGCACATTTGAGAGAGAGCATAAGTCTCCATCCCCCAGCTCTCAGTCTCTCTCTGGTCTCTCTCTGGTCTCTCTCTGATCTCTCCCTAGTCTCTCCCTTGTCTCTCCCTCGTCTCTCTCTCGTCTGTGTGTTTTTTAATGGATTCTTATGGAGACACAGGGAGAATATGCAAACTCCACTAATCGCTGTTGTGTCAAATGCTTGGACTCAAAGAAGCCGTTCGAACCCACCTGGTCTGAGGGGGGCCGCTCCCAGTCTTGATTCAGGTCCTGGTTCAGGTCCTGGTTCAGGTCCTGGTTCACCTGGACCTCAATCACAGATGAGGCCAAAGTGCTGCAGCTGGAGTTCAGCGTCTCATGAAACAGTTCACCCTCACTCTCTGCTGCCTGACCAGAAGAGGGCGCTAATGAGACCAGAGAGAGACCAGCTATGGACCAGAGCGAGACTAGAGAGAAAGAGACCAGAGACCAGAAAGAGACCAGAGGGACCAGAGACAGACTGGAGAGAGACCATAGAGAGACCATAGAGAGAGACATGAGAGAGAGACCAGAGAGAGAGACCAAGAAAGAGAGACCCTAAAACTCTTACCTTCAAAGCTGAGGAACAAGAGACCGAGGAGAGAGAGAAAACAGTGAGAGTATATTAGAACACAGACATAGACACACACACACAGACGCACACACAGACACACACACACAGAGACAGACACACACACCTCTCCATCACATTGTATATACACTTGGACAAATGTATTTTCTGAAAAAGAGAAGAATAATACTCACGTTTGGACTGAATCGCCGCCTCTATGTCTTTGGCTGGAGCTGAAACCGACCAATCAGAGGAGAGATCCACCTGTTAGCTCTACACAGACACCAGCTCCTGACATTAGCTCTACACTATAGAGACACTAGCTCCTGATGATGTCAGCTCAGGAGGCGGGGCTTGTACCTGATTGGCGGCGGCTGCGGCGGTGCAGGGACTTCCTGTTGGAGAAGGAGCCGCAGGGGGCCTCCTGAGGCTCTGGGGGAAACACACATATCAATCAAAAACACAACGCACACACAGAGACACAGAGACGCACACACACATATATCTGTGTGTGTGTGTTTGTGTATCTGTGTGTGTGTGTGTGTGTGTGTGCATGTGTGTATATATGTGTGTGTGTGTGTGTGTGTGTGTGCGTGTGTGTCTCACCTGACTGTCTCCTTCCTCTGTGCAGTTCGTCCAGTCTGGTTACAGAGCTGGACTTCAGCACCTCCTGGTGGAAGTGCGGAGCTACAGCAGGAAGAGAGGAACATCACAGAGACGCCTCAGTCCTGGATCTAAAGCCTCAGTCTTGGGTCTACAGCCTCAGTCCTGGGTCTACAGCCTCAGTCATGGGTCTACAGCGTCAGTCATGGATCTACAGCCTCAGTCCTATGTATTTTCTGTGTTTGTGTAAAGGTTCCACTCACTTTGGCTGAAGTTATCTCCCAGAACCTGACGAGCCTGAAACACAAGAAACCTGGTTCAGTCCTGGTTCAGTCCTGGTTCGGTCCTGGTCAGTCCTGATTCAGTCCAGACCTTTTGGGGCAGGGAGGTGGGGTGGTTCTCGATGATCAGCCTCTTGAGGTAATGGACCCACAGCTTCTTCTCCTCCTGGTTCTTTGTCTGAAACCAGAGAGAGACCAGAGAGATACCAGAGAGAGACCAGAGAGAAACCAGAGAGAGAGACCAGAAAGAGACCACAGAGATACCAGATAGAGACCAGAGAGAGAGACCAGAAAGAGACCAGAACAGAAGCACTGTGAGCTGGGTGTTTACTGGTGTTGATGGTGTGTAGTGATGGTGTCACAGACCTGGACTATGTGCTGGTGTTTGCAGATGCTCTGGTCCGAGATTTTAAAACTCAGAGGATCCTTCAGCGTCTCCACCAGCAGCAGGTTACAGCACTGAGGGAGAGGAAGGAGGGGAGAGAGGGGAGAGATATACTGTTAATCCTGTAACACACACACACACACTGGATAGTTCTCTGCATAATGACAGCATAACAAGCCGTGTAGCTGTCTTTGGATGAGTGAAACTAAGAAACTGTATTGCTCCACAAGAATGAGGAAATCTCTCTTTCCAGTCACTCTCTGATCTTTCTGGTCTCTGTGGTCACTGGTCCCTGTGCTCTCTGGTCCCTCTTCTCTCTTTGGTCCCTCTGGTTCCTGTGCTCTCTGGTCTCTCTGGTCTCCCTGGTCTCTGGTCTCCCTGGTCTCTGGTCTCCCTGGTCTCTGGTCTCTCTGGTCTCTCTGGTCTCTGGTTTCTGGTCCGGATGATCCCCCTGGTCCCTTTGGTTCCCCTAGTCCCTCTGGTCTCCCTGGTCCCTGGGGCTCACAAAGATGTGTGTGCTGTAGACATAGTGGTTGAGTCGTTTCTTGGTGATGAGGAGCATCCTGTCGAAGAGGAAGATGGCTCTCTCCTTCTTCATCCTCTGGACCCTGAAGCTGCCCTCCAGAACCAGCTCCCCGAACCCAGACAAATCCGGACCGGTCCAGTCTAGGAGCAGGGCCTGGACCTCCTGCACACAGACCACAGACAGGTCTAAACCAGGACTAAGCAGGTCTAAAACAGGTCTCAAGCAGGTTTAAAGCAGGACTAAAGCAGGACTAAAGCAGGTCTAAAGCAGGACTAAAGCTGGTCTAAAGCAGGACTAAAGCCGGTCTAAAGCAGGACTAAACCAGGAATAAAGCAGGACTAAACCAGGAATAAAGCAGGACTAAAGCAGGTCTAAAGCAGGACTAAAGCAGGCCTAAAGCAGGACTAAAGCAGGTCTAAAGCAGGACTAAAGCAGGTCTAAAGCAGGACTAAAGCAGGTCTAAGGTAGGACTAAAGCTGGTCTAAAGCCAGTCTGAAGCAGGTCTAACCCAGGACTAAAGCAGGTCTAGAGCAGGTCTAAAGCAGGTCTAAAGCAGGACTAAAGCAGGTCTAGAGCAGGTCTAAAGCAGGACTAAAGCAGGACTAAAGCAGGACTAAAGCAGGTCTAGAGCAGGTCTAAAGCAGGACTAAAGCAGGTCTAACCCAGGACTAAAGTAGGTCTAAAGCAGGACTAAAGCAGATATTTCTTTGTTGAAGTCTTAGGCCTGATGTATCAATCTCACCAGCAGAGGGCGCTTGTTCACTGCTAAAACCATACAGCCAGTCATAATGGACTGTCAATGTGAGAACCATATGGGCACAGCCACTGAGCAGACCATGGGAAACCTAGACCATGGGGCTGACATGTTAAGATAGATCTCAGAATGAAGAAATGTACAAGGACCTTTTGGCTCAGATGAACTAAACCTTGTGGTGGTTCAGATGTTTATTTTGTTATATTGTCTTTTTAAATCCAGATATGAACCATAACAACCGACCAATCAGGAGCCTTTTGTCCCCAAAATTGACTTCAGCTCCAGACCTGGCAACACAAGAGCTCCTGATTGGATCTTGTGTTGCCAGGTTGTTGTCAGCCAAGAATTTCTGTTTGAGTTCAGTCTAATCCTGTTGGAGTAGCCCAGCCGGGTCTGGGTCACCTGCAAGCGGGTTGCGTGCTCCTGCTTCCTCTTCATGTCGTTGATGTACCAGGCAACCGCTGTCATGGCAACAATGGCATCCTCCACCACCTCGTAACCCGGGTCCGACTTTGACAGGTGTTTGGACAGCTCCTGCAACGTTAGCATTAGCATTAGCGCCTGGAACAAGTGTTATCTATGAGACTAAAAGTTACAAACCCCAGCTTTAATCTCTTGCTGCAGTTTTGTTTGAAATGTGAAAATATAAATAAATGTTGTGTAATCACTTCCTTCTTTGTTCCAGAGGGTGATGGGAAATACCACAAACCCAAGACCAGGACCAGGTCTGGACCAGGACTAGGAGCAGGTCTGGAGCTGGTCTCGAGCAGGACCAAAAGGAGTGTGGGGGCTCCTGAACTCCTACTCAACCTTTAAAAAGTTGTCCCTTTGTCTGAAAACCTGTAGCTGTGGAGCTGCAGAGTCCGGACCTGCACTCTCAGGACCTACAGTAGTACTAGTAGTAGTAGTACTCTGAGTACTTGCCTGTAGTAGAGTAGTAGTAGTAATAGTACTCTCAGTACTTGCCTGCAGCAGTAGGTGATACTTCAGTATTCGTTGTACTGGCTTCAGTAAATACGTCTCCAGAGGAAGAGAGTGATTCAGACTGAACTGTATCTGCTGAAAGAACCTGAGGAGCGACGAGTCCTGGACCAGGTCTGAGAGTACTGCAACAGAGCTGTAAAAGTACACACAGTACTGCAACAGATCTGTAAAAGTACACATGAGCTAAACAAAGATAACCTTGAATTATCCAGGTTTCTCATCTGTGAATATATATGTGCACCATGTGTCCCTCCACATGGTACCAAGTCCCTCCGCATGGTACCAAGTCCCTCCGCATGGTACCAAGTCCCTCCACATGGTAACACGTCCCTCCACATGGTAACAAGTCCCTCCACATGGTAACACGTCCCTCCACATGGTAACAAGTCCCTCCACATGGTAACAACATCCTAATGTGACCCTCTCTGGTCGAGAGCCTCCTCTCAGTGTTTTTCCTCAGCTGAGGCCTCCTCAGGGACCAGAGGGATCCAAGCTACAAGGACTGGAACCGGTCTGGTCTGACCCTAGTATGGTGTGGGTCTCGGTCTGGGTCTGGTGTGAGTCAGGTCTGGCTCTGGTCTGGCTCAGGTCTGGCTCTGGGTCCTGATTTGATTTGGGTCTGGATATGGTCTGGGTCTGGATCTGGATTTGGTCTGGGTCTGGGGGGAAGATCCATGTCTTAAAATGTCGACTCAACACATTTACTAATGTCATTCACAGAAACATGAACCACAGATGAGAGACAGAGAGAGAGAGGGGAGAGAGGGGAGAGAGGGGAGAGAGGGGGAGAGGGGGAGAGGGGAGAGACAGAGAGAGAGGGGAGAAAAAGGAGAGAAAGGAGAGAGGGGAGAGACAGAGAGAGAGGGGAGAGAGGGGAGGGAGGGAGGGAGGAGAGAGAGAGAGGAGGGAGGGGGGGGGAGAGAGAGGGGAGAAGAGAGTCACACAAAATAACACTGAGAGAAACATTAGAAAGTGGGAGGTGCTCGGACTAGAGCCCAGTTCGAGGAAACGGCTCTCAGGAAATACCAATAAAGTGTAACGTATTTGTCCCTGATCACCGTGACGACAGAGACCTCTGTGTCCTCAGTGTGACATCACTTTGAGACGCTGTGAGTGTCAAGAGAAAGACCAGAGAAAGACCATAGAGAGACCAGAGAGAGAGACCATAGAGAGACCAGAGAGAGAGACCATAGAGAGACCAGAGAGAGAGACCAGAGAGAAGAAAGAGACCAAGACCAGAGAGAGACCAGAGAGAGACCAGAGAGAGACCAGAGAGAGACCAGAGAGACCAGAGAGAGACCAGAGAGACCAGAGAGACCAGAGAGACCAGAGAGAGACCAGAGAGAGACAGAGAAGAGGACCAGAGAGAGACCAGGAAAGAGAGAGACCAGAGAGAGACCAGAGAGAGAGACCAGAGAAAGACCATAGAGAGACCAGAGAGAGAGACCATAGAGAGACCAGAGAGAGAGACCATAGAGAGACCAGAGAGAGAGACCATAGAGAGACTAGAGAGAGAGACCAGAGAGAGACCAGCGAAAGACCAGAGAAAGACCAGAGAGGGATCAGAGAGAGACCAAAGAGAGAGACCAGAGAGAGAAACCAGAGAAAGACCAGAAAGAGACCAGAGACAGAGACCAGAGAGTTATCTCACTTGGGGTAGTTCATGCAGTACAGGGTGTAGATGTCGAAGGCTTCGCTCTGGAAGAGAAGAAAACAGGATCAGAGGAAGGAAGCGAGTGTATTTATATGGCACATTTTACAAACAACAAACTGTATCAGTCTAACTAGGTCCAGGTCTAGTCCAGGACTCGTCCAGCCAAAGTCCAGCCAAAGTCCAGGTCTCGTCAAGATCTAGTCCAGCCCACGTCCAGGTCTCGTCCAGGTGTAGTCCAGTTCTCCTCCAGGTCTCATCCAGTCCAGGTCTACATTCTTTTCATTTGCACATTTCCAGGTGTGTCTCAAACAGAGGTGTGAGGGCGGAACTCTCTGCAGCACATAAAGCCCAGGCATGAACCAGGTCTGGAGCGGGTCCAGATGTGAATTTGTGTGTGTTTGTGTGAGAGAGACCAGCGAGAGACCAGAGAGAGACCAGGGAGAAACCAGAGAGAGACCAGAGAGAGACCAGAGAGAGACCAGAGAGAGACCTGCGAGAGACCTGCAAGAGAGACCTGAGAGAGACCAGAGAGAGACCAGAGAGAGAGACCAGAGAGAGAGAGACCAGAGAAAGAGAGACCAGAGAAAGAGACCAGGTCTAGGACTGACCAGGATCGGTCTTAATGAAGTCCTGTGTTTCTAAGGACATATTTCCGCTTCAAGGCCGAAAGGAAACGGGTCTCACCTCATAAACTAAGTCCAGAGCTGGGACTTGGCACAGACCTGGCACAGACCTGGTTCAGACCTTGCCCAGACCTGGTCTAGACCCAGTGTGATATTAGTTAAACTCACTCTGTCGACGAAACACTCGGCAATGGATGCAGCGTCCGGGCATCGCTCCAGGTCCTCCAGAAGATCACTGCAGGAGAACAGCTGTAAGACCAAGACGTGGACCGGGATTGGGACCAGGGCCAGGACCAGGACCTGGACCCAAGTCTTCAAAACCTGCTCTACATGTGCAAACCCCTAAAGTCATCACTCATTTTATTTCCTTGTGTGTGAATGTGTGTCTCAATGTTTGTGTATGTGTGCGGGTGTGTGTGTCTTTGTGTGTGTATGTGTGTGTGTGTGTGTGTGTGTGTGTATATGTGCGTGTGTGTGTGTGTGTATGTGTGTGCGTGTGTCTCTGTGTGTATATGTGTGTGTGTTTCTTCGTTGACTGAGTCTGTCATCAGCGCACACCTGTAATTAAGCCCGCCCCCAAGGTGACTGACAGGTGATGTCATCGCTCCACACACCTGGACGAGCGAAAGGGAGGAAAACCAGATAGATAGACCAGAGAGAGACCAGAGAGCGACCAGAGAGAGACCAGAGAGAGACCAGAGAGAGACCAAAGAGAGAGAGCAGAGAGAGAGACCAGAGAGAGACCAGAGAGAGAGACCAGAGAGAGACCAGAGAGAGACCAGAGAGAGAACAGAGAGAGACCAAAGAGAGAGACCAGAGAGAGACCAGAGAGCGACCAGAGAGAGACCAGAGAGAGACCAGAGAGAGAGACCAGAGAGAGACCAGAGAGAGACCAAAGAGAGAGAGCAGAGAGAGAGACCAGAGAGAGACCAGAGAGAGAGACCAGAGAGAGAGACCAGAGAGAGAGACCAGAGAGAGACCAGAGAGAGACCAAAGAGAGAGACCAGAGAGAGACCAGAGAGAGAACAGAGAGAGACCAAAGAGAGAGACCAGAGAGAGACCAGAGAGAGACCAGAGAGCGACCAGAGAGAGACCAGAGAGAGACCAGAGAGAGACCAGAGAGAGACCAGAGAGAGAGACCAGAGAGACCAGAGAGAGACCTGCACTTCTCTTTCTTTGTTAGTATCCATCTCTAAACATGAATCTTGTGCTTCTGTTTGGTTTCTCTTTAAACTCTTGGAACCGTGTTCTACATTTCTCTGAGTTTCCTCCTGAGTCACAAACATGACGTCGTGATCAGCTCCAGATGTGAACGAGGAGAAAGAAAGAACCACTTTAGACTCACGACCAAACACACACTGTTCAGAGGAGAACCAGGTCAGACACTCCTCTCCTGACCCGAGCAGACGTCTCCATCCCCCAGTTCCCATAAGTCTCCATCCCACAGTTCTCATGAGTTAGGGAATCTCTCTGGTCTCTCCTTGGTCTCTCCCTGGTCTCTCCCTGGTCTCTCTCTGGCCTCTCTCTGGTCTCTCTCTGGCCTCTCTCTGGTCTCTCTCTGGTCTCTCTCTGGTCTCTCTCTGGCCTCTCTCTGGTCTCTCTCTGGTCTCTCTCTGGTCTCTCTCTAGTCTCTCTCTGGTCTCTCTCTGGTCTCTCTCTGGCCTCTCCTTGGTTTCTTTCTGGTCTCTCCCTGGCCTCTCCCTGGTCTCTCCCTGGTCTCTCTATGATGGTTTATGTCGTCTATAAACGTCAGTTTGGGGTCAAAACATTTGACCCAGAGACAAACTCTCACTTCCTGCCAAAGGGTCAAGCTCAGTCTGTCACCACGGCAACAAACAACACATCCCACTTCCTCATGGGAACTGTGTCTAGGAGAAAACATTTAAACAAAGTCTCTCTGGTCTCTCTGGTCTCTCTCTGATCTCTCTCTGGTCTCTCTCTCTGGTCTCTCTTTCTGGTCTTGGTCTTGGTCCTGGTCCAGGTCTTGGTCCTGGTCTTACCTGTTGAACTCGTAGATGTCTTCGATGTTACAGAACAGAGCGCTGACCTGCTCCGGCTTCAGAGGAGCCTCCTCCCACTCCACGATACACCCCAGATAGTCCTACAGAAGCAGATACTGACTGTTAGGGTCAGATAGTCCTACAGAGGCAGATACTATAGGGTCAGATAGGCAGAATGTGACTGATAGGGACTAAAGAACTGAGTTCAGTCCTGGTTCAGTCCTGGTTTGGACCAGGCTCAGAGCTGGTTCAGACCTGGTTTATGGCCTGTTTGCCGTGGTGACGTCCTTTTTCGTATAATTGAATGATTTTTAATCTAAACAGGAAGTGACTGTTGAGGAATGTGGCCTGAGAAAGACCAGGACTTTAGACCAGGATGGAGGCTTTAGACCAGGACTAGGCT